AAAAAAATCGAATTATTTTATTTTTCCTCCAAAATTTCGCCCTCAAAAATTCCAAAGAGATGATGGGGCCTCTGAATATGCCACCTCCTCGTTGTATTGGGCCCAATAGTAATCGGCGTCGGGCTGGGCCGGCGCCAGAAAACCGCCCGCCAAATCGTCAAAGCCCGGAAATAATCCAAAATCGGATATATTATCCGGCCCGGGCCCCATCGTCAAAAACTGGTCCAGAAAATCATTATCCATGGGTATTTCTGTCATTTCACAATCCGCCTGAGCTACCACCCCGTCCGACATGGACGGGCACGAACACGACGCCGAGCCAAACGAATCGGCCCTCGAGTCCGGACTGTCGACACGACCCGAAACGCCGCCGGCGCGTGGGGGCTCCTCGCGGGCGAACCGGGCGGCCGCGGACTGGATCTCGGCCGGCGACATTGACCGGCCGCCGGGTATCTCCGGCGGGTCGTTTGGGAAGTTGAACCGGGCGGCCCGGCCGCGGAGGCAGTAGAGGGCCGCGTCGAAGGCGCGCGCCGCCTTCTCCGCGGTGTCGTAGGAGCCGAGCCAGATCCTCTCCCGGCTGTTGGGAAGTCTGATCTCGGACACGTACTTGCCCCACTTGCGCTTCCTCACGCCCTTGTACTTGTCGCCCGCCGCCGCCTCCGGGGGCGGTGACGACTGCTCCTCCGCCGTCTGATTCAGCGGTATCGATTTCACCATCTCAATTTGTTTAATTATAATTAATAATTATTTACCTTTTTCGTTTATATTTTTTTTAATTAAGGAAAAATTGATTGGTTTTCTTTGTGGGGGATTGAAAATGGCGGCCGGAGCTTTTATAGTGTGTTGGGGGAGAGTGAGTGAGGAGGAGGGTCAAAGTGGAACACAGGGGAGTGGTGAAGCGCGTGAGGGGACACGTGGCGGAAGTATGGTACGGCAGTCACTGGTTGGTCGGGAAAACGCGGTGACGTTAGACTGTTAAAGAAGCACATGTGGAATTCGAGTTTTTTGTGTGTGGGAATTCGGATGGGTCGAGGAAGGCCCGCTTGGTTTATACTATAGATATAATATAATCTTTGCGTTTTATTTACTACGAGCAACCATAATTTAGATAATGACTATATTACATTCTATATTAGTAACCACAAGTTAGATAATGAGCATATTACATTCTATATTAGTAACGACATAAATATAAACTTTTTAACTCATATATTAATCTCTATACTGATGCTGTTTGATTGATTATGACCAAGTAGTTGAATAAAATAATATTAAAATTATTATTGTAGCACTTGTGTACGAAATTTTAAATGGTTTGATTATGCCAGAAAAAATATTTAACTAATTTTAATACTGAAACTTGCTTAATGAGTTAAAAAAATAATTTTAGATAATTTTTTTGTATTTGTTTTTTTAGAAAAGAGTGACATTTAATGTGATTTTATGATTAGTTAATAGTAACGATTTGTTTGATTAATGCAAAAGTAACAGAAAATGGAGGGAAATAAAAAAATAGTTTTATTAACTGCTTTGCTAGCGATTATATATAAATATATAGATACGTCAGCCAGCTTGACGTTAAAAATGATGTTAATAAAAGGTAAAAAAATGATGTTAATAAATTTTTATTTACTATATTTTAAAATATGTTTTAAAATATAATATTAGTAGTGTAAGAATTTATATTCATTATCATTATCATCATCATTTCAATAGTCATCAAATAACATAGATTTGTGACTCTAGAAACAACAATATATAACTAATTGTGACTACAAATTACTATTCATTTTACATAAAATTTTTAAATTAAATAAATTCAACTTAAAAACTATGAGTGATATTTGACGAAAAAATATATTTGTCACATTAATGACACCTATTGAAACTTTTTTCCAAAAATGTCTCATAATAGTGTTCTTTTTATTATTTATGAATAAGTAAATACATTATTTCTATTCTATAGTTAAACCCGAATAGAATAATTCAAATAAAAATGTAAAAATATGAGCCAACTAAAATTAATAAAATATATTAAATACTTAAGAAAAAAAAAAGGAATGACTCAATTTTCATATATTTTTTTTTTACCTTTTCTAATTGGTGAAAATTCAATACTTCATTTCTTTGCAAAGTAAGTCCGATACTGATCAGAATGACGTGCAAGATAGATCATCTTCTGTAAAGTTACAAATAGACATAATAATCGTTGATGTTCATGTCAATAACAAATTACTTATTTTGTGCATGTAACTTATGCGAAATGTAATTTAATATATTTTTATACAATGTACATTAATAATAAAAATATATTTAAATAGTATTATAAAATTATAATAAGAGTAAAATTTATTTTGATAAAATGAACATTTATTATATATGATAAGAAATAAGTAGTTCATGCATTAGCCGTTTTCTATTGCAACAATTTAGTAGCACTAATATATTATTGTCATTCTCTTAAGAGGAAAAAAAAAACATGTGTTATAGTAACTAAAAATTAACAATAATTAACAAAATATGTTATTTATAAATTATAGTTGCATAATTGTGGATTAATAAAGAATAAAATTGCGTACAGTCACTTTAGTCACAAACTTTTAGATAACCTCAAATTTAGACCTAAATGAAAAAAAAAAATGATATTAACTCAAAATAAAAATTAAACAAACTATGTATTTCCGGCTCATACTATTCAATCAATTAAGATCAAAACAATATAAAAGGCCTCATATATACAAAATTTTCAATAAATAATTGGATGATAAATATATACTGTCTTATTTTGTCTTCACGGTCAAAATCATATTGCCACTCTTTATGGTGAGACTCTCTCACTCTTTTTGTTATCATTTCCTATTATTTTTTTATATATTTCACAATATTATAATGCAATATTAGTCTATTTTTTACCCATGCATAGATGAAACAAAATTCCGATGTCATATTCAAACACTAAATCATCTACAACCCGTGACAGTATATGTCCATCTAGAAGTAAAAGAATAAAAATATAAATACCTATATATATCAAATTATTGTTTTATTATATATTTTCAAGATTTTTGTTATTGTTTTATTATATATTTTCAAGATTTTTGTTTCTTTATATTTTATGTCATACTGATGTAACTATCAAGATGATCACATTCAATGCTTATCTCAATAGCTAACACTTATTCTACATTGAATTTGATAACCATATTAAATACACGTTGATAGAATTCTTGCATAACAGTATGAATAAATATTTAAATTGTAAAATATAGCTCTAGAATAATAAAAAGTAAAACTAACAAATGCGATATATGATTAAAATAAAAATATTCGTTGCATTTGTAGCATGTCGTTCGAAACCTTGTTTGTGGTAATATTTTGATAAATACAATATAATCTCATCTCTCTTATTAAAACAATATTGCTATACGAATACAAAAATTAACAATAAGTTAACCCGTTATACATTCTTTCAGAAATTTTAGTTGTATAATTATAAACCACTAAGGCCTCGTTTACTAAAGAGGAGAGGATTAGACAAATTAATCCCTCCAACTTTCCTCATCTTGCCACGTCAGATTTAATCCCGAGTTTACTAAACATGATACAATTTTATCCTAACAAATCATCTATTTACTATACATGATAAAATTGTGTG